TGTACGAGAAACAAAACATTGCCTTCACATAACAACGGGCAGCAAGAAGTGGGCCAAATGCAATTCCTTCAGGTTAAATACGATCACCGGTAGCATGAAGAATTATCGGGTCACCTAAAGTATGCGCTGCAGCGTGATTAACGGGCGTGAGAAAGCAAACAACTGGCTCAGAGTTGACTTAATTTCTCGGTTACGTTGACCAGACCACACACTAGAAGGTGGAGGGACGACGACGTTTCGGTCCGTCCTGGACCATTCTCAAGTCGACTGAGATTTCTCGGTTACATTTCTCAGGGCTATAACAAGTCAGATTTGGCAGGATCAAACTTTATATGCCAATAAAGTTTGCTCTCAACCTGGGGCCAGATTCACGAAGCAGTTACGCAAACACTTACGAACCTGTGCATCTTTTCTAAATCTTTGGCGGCTTTGTTTACAATTATTAAAGAGTTAATGAGCTCCGAAGCACCAGGAGGCTGTTTATAACAATAGCAACAGTTGATTGGCAAGTTTTTATGTTTGTAAACTGTTTAATAAATGTAACCAAAGCCGTCAAAGATTGAGGAAAGATGTACACGTTCGTAAGTGCTTGCGTAACTGCTTCGTGAATCTGGCCCCTGATCCCCAAGTCACTTTACTATTGCCACGGGCGTTGTTCAGCCGCTATCAACCTTTGTCAGTGTATTACACCTGGTTACGAGCATTTCATGTTCTAACCTTCAAGAATACTCCCAAAGACAGTTCAGGACTATAAATAAACTATCTGTACTACATACAGTGATCAATATACTTCACACTGTATATATACACACAATGTGATAGATCCACTGCGTATATACATTAAGCAAAGGTGTCACATCAGTTGATCAGAAATGGTAACTGTAAAGGTGAAGACTGTTCTTCGTTATAACTTGCGTCACACACGTCTAAATTTGCCGGTACGTCCCATCACAAACGTCTAAATTTACCGATACGTCCAATCACAAAGATCTAAATTTGCCGGTACGTCCCATCACAAACGTCTAAATTTACCGGTGCGTCCCATCACGACGTCGGAGTCTCCCCGGACGTCTAACCCCCCCCCCCCCCCCTTGTGCTCCAGACACACCAACAGACTAGTCTAACACGGGGTGAAATTAACACGCGTCAATTCATTATGGATCGCCAACCTCACTCACACTAGCTAACCTAATTAATTACCGCGCTGGTCCTGGACGACGAAGATAAACACAAAAGCGTCGGTTGGGATGATATTCGCCAGATGATGCCTCTGGGGGGACACGTCAGGGGCCATGGGGACCGATCGGGTCCCTGAAGTAACGTTTATGGGCCCCCAGCTGAGAGCTACGGGTACCGTTTGTCCCCGGATCTGGCCCCCCACGGACGGCTAGGAATTGTGTTGTCTCGGTGGCTAGGTGTGTGGGTGTCCGGTGGCTAGGTGTGTGTGGGTGTCCGGTGGCTAGGTGTGTGTCCGGTGGCTAGGTGTGTGTGGGTGTCCGGTGGCTAGGTGTGTGGGCGTCCGGTGGCTAGGTGTGTGGGTGTCCGGTGGCTAGGTGTGTGTCCGGTGGCTAGGTGTGTGTGGGTGTCCGGTGGCTAGGTGTGTGGGTGTCCGGTGGCTAGGTGTGTGGGTGTCCGGTGGCTAGGTGTGGGGACACTCCCCCTACACCTAGCCACCAGGACCACTCCCTGACTGTCAACATTGGCAGTGTGGCTGAGGTGGTCGACGGCGCCAGTAATATTATGGAGAGGGAGAAAGCTGGGACAGAGCCCATGGGTAATAGCTCTCTCTTCCCATACCATCCTTCCTACCCCTGTGTGTGTGTGTGTGTGTGTGTGTGTGTGTGTGTGTGTGTGTGTGTGTGTGTGTGTGTGTGTGTGTGTGTGTGTGTGTGTGTGTGTGTGTGTGTGTGTGTGTGTGTGTGTGTGTGTGTGTGTGTGTGTGTGTGTGTGTGTGTGTGTGTGTGTGTGTGTGTGTGTGTGTGTGTGTGTGTGTGTGTGTGTGTGTGTGTGTGTGTGTGTGTGTGTGTGTGTGTGTGTGTGTGTGTGTGTGTGTGTGTGTGTGTGTGTGTGTGTGTGTGTGTGTGTGTGTGTGTGTGTGTGTGTGTGTGTGTGTGTGTGTGTGTGTGTGTGTGTGTGTGTGTGTGTGTGTGTGTGTGTGTGTGTGTGTGTGTGTGTGTGTGCGTGTGTGTGGCATGTGTCGGCCCGTCACTTACGCCCAATTACATTAACCAGGCAGTTCACGCTCTACTGAATAAAGGAACCGCATGGACCCCTCAGTCTCCGGTTTATTATTATTATTATGTGGCTTACAGTAAGATATAATTACTAATATTATCATAATCCCTCATTTTGATTTGCACTTGTTTTATCTCAATACATTCAGTACTGTCTGCTTTGACTAACAGTCTCCTGCTGGCACCCTGCAGTTCCTCCTGCTGGCACCCTGCTGTTCCTCCTGCTGGCACCCTGCTGTTCCTCCTGCTGGCACCCTGCAGTTCCTCCTGCTGGCACCCTGCTGTTCCTCCTGCTGGCACCCTGCTGTTCCTCCTGCTGGCACCCTGCTGTTCCTCCTGCTGGCATCCTGCTGTTCCTCCTGCTGGCACCCTGCAGTTCCTCCTGCTGGCACCCTGCAGTTCCTCCTGCTGGCACCCTGCTGTTCCTCCTGCTGGCACCCTGCTGTTCCTCCTGCTGGCACCCTGCACCTGGCACCCTCCGACAGTTATTCTTGCGCCTAACCATCGGTCTGCTTAAGCCTGACCATCCA